GGCATTATAAACATATTTATTCGACGATGTCTTTCTTATACACATATATATATATTTATATTTGACCCTGTCACACTGTTGAGCAAACGTATGAGTTCAAGGGAAAATGGTATTCGTGCACGAATGCCGGAATATGAAATTAAAATCGATGTCATGAATAAGTATTTAATAAAACAGATTTTGATATGAATTCGATGCCTTTCAGCTTATCGCACACAAATCGTATTGTTTGTTGGAGCACACACTTAACGGATCATGCCATTTGAATGCTTGGAATATAGTGTTTAATTACATTAATTACTATTATTCCATAATTCATGTATTATCATTTATTTGGACATGTGCAGCCGACACAATGTTGATAAATTTTGCACAATTCAAATTATAAATGTCACGGTGGGGTTTGATGCAATCATTCGTACATCAAACAGAGCTGCGATGCAAAGATTTGATTCTATGCCATTATTTAGATCAATCGGATTTATTTGAATTTAATAAATATTTATTATTCTGTTCATTTCTGGTAAAGCTTTTGCTTAAAAAAATACATCGTGATGAAAATTCCTATTGGAATTCGATGTAGCACTGGTACAATGTAACGCACTCTACAGCTAAGAAGATTAATAATAAAATATACGAGTCGTACAGTTTTTCTCGTTCATTTTTGTTGTAAGCGCAAAATTTTGCCGTGAGTGGTGTTTCGGATGGAATACTCGAAATGATGATTTGACCACTCGACTTGTCAGAACAGTGAGTGATATGTGCTAAATACAATGCTCAACCATAATTCAACGCAAACAAATGTTGGTTACATTGCATGGAGATGTATACCTATATGAACGTTCAGTCCGTTACAAGTATACTAAAATTGTTCCATTCTTCAGTGAGCACAGTAATTAGGTTGAGTAATATAAATAAAGAAGATTCTTCTCTGATTCACACTGTATCCATCGGTTGCATTTGAATTAAATTCCAGTAAATCGGCTTTACCACATCAATTATACAAGTACATTTTAGTATCTAAGTTTACTCGTTTATTAAATCGGCATTCATATATCTATATTTATATCACCACCGAATGGTGATTCTAAGTCAAAAGCTGATGTGAATTATTTTCTAAATTCCATTGTTACTCTTGTGGTGAAGCTATTTGATGATGGCTAATAATTTTGATACGCATACCAATTCAATATATGCTTCATATCTTCTCACATTTCAAGAATAGTTATCAAAACCATTCTACTGGAACGATTATGACCAAACAAAGGCAGATATCAACCACATAAGCACATATCTTTCGCTCTGTGGATTGTAATTAGCCTGCAACAGCTTAATATTAAATTAGTGATTCAATCAAATCTAAAATATTTTAATTTGATTTCATTCCATCTTGTTCTTGTGTGTGTGTGCGTGCGTGTGTGTGTTTCCCTCTTTATTACCCTTTGTACATCTATCGGCAGCCAAGTTGTGAATATATAATGATGGAAGTCTATGATTTAAATGCCGATTAAATAAATTAGCGAAATGGCTTTCATGTCCGATTGTTCGAATTCAAGGTATGCAATGAACGCAACTATATCAACCATCAATTCATTAGTATGAAAATATTTCCTTTATATTGGGTATTAGCTCATTGGATAATTATACGGAGAATGAAAACGAAAAGAAAAACACCACGCGAACATAGTCTTAACGAGAGAAATTCTATAATTAATCATACAAAAAGAACATCATTGTTCATTTTATATGCTGGAACGGTCAAAAACAGTAAATTGTTGAAAGTTCGTTGCGCGTTATTTCGACTAATTGCCTTTAAAAGATATGTAATGGTGGTTTTACCGTGCATAGAATTGCTATGCAAAGGAATGTTAAAAATTAAAATCAATGTTAAAACTCGGATGCAGACATCTCGGATACTGAACATTACCTACGAAGAGGAACAAAAAAAAAACTGAACAATTACAGTTTCTGTGTGCGATTCAACGCGATATATTCTATAGTCTATCCCAAAATGGGATTACATGCATTGCATACAGTATTCCATATTACAATGTTGCGCGAAATGTTCGCATACCATTGGCAATGATCAGAAAGTATGTGCACGCGCGCGCTTCGTACTCGTTTGAAATACATTTTACTCATTAAATATGACAACTTCCACCCATTGTTATGTGGATATGTTCTGCAGCTATAAAATGTATTTTTCATTGTTTACTGTAAGTGCTGCTGCTATTGTTGGCAATGGGCTGTTCGTTTTCTCTCTTTCTCTATTTAGTTGTAGCTCACGTAGTGATCGTTTTGAGATATATCATATAACCTTTTTTTCTCGACTGTACAATAATAATTCATTTCACTTTTCAATTTATTTTCAAAAAAAGGTGTTGAATTTTCAATGCTTTTGTTGATGTTTTTGAATTCATGTCATTTTATACCGTCAAATGCCGCAAATTTAATTGCTTCTCGAGCGGGACGGGGGGAGGAGAAACAGCTTCAAAATAGCAATTTAAAAAAAATCCCAGAGGTAGAGGAAAATCAATAAAACAAATCTGTGTGCTTTTATATCATTCGTAATTATTATCTCTTCAAAGTGCAGATCAATTTTAAAAGTAGACAGCAGCGATTTGCATACTCTATGGAATAGAGGATTAAAATTTGTGCAATTTGAAGAGAAAACAGTAATAAAATAAAGCAAAGAGCATTAAAATATATATATATTCGTAGCGCTGCGGGTTAAACAATGTAAAAGGCGGAGTGGAGGACATTCAAATCATATACAATTTCAAAATCGATTTTGTGCTAATTAAATGTGAGATAATAAAAAGGGCCAAGAAAAAAATAAGTTGAAACCATCGTTAAAAAGAAATCATTCCAATTTAGGTGGTACTAAGAAATTACATTCTTACGAAAGAGCATAAAAAAAGTTAAGCCATGACTTTTAACTTTCTTTGATTGAGGCGGTTCTGGAGCTGATCGCATGAAAACTTTATTGTTTGAGCATTAAAAAAACGAAGTGAATTAAAAGCAGTTTGCCGTGTTAACCTTTTAAAAGTGAGAGATCTCTTTGATGATAAGAGTTGGCTCTTCATTCGCCATTATACACTTGAGAAGTACATCTTTGGAATTAAGATAGTAAACATTTTCCAAACTGAAATAGTATGTTCTTTGAATTGTTTTCGATGTAAATGAAAAACAACACAAATAAGTCAAAAAGTGTATTAAAAAAAGTGTTCGAAATTGGAAATACAATGAAACAATTTTCTCTGCATTAACCAAATTCATAATGAATTTTAAGTGCTTTGGTCTACATTATCTGTTAAATACAGATTAAATTAATTTTGTTTAATTTAAATTTCGAATTTGCTAATTTTCTGTATCTAATACCAATTCCATTCGGCTAAATGCACTAAATGGCACAGCTTCTAAGCTGATGACGCATTTTTTTACCAATTTTACTTCACACAGAGAAAATGTCATCGAACATCCCAAATGTTCTAGATTTTCTTTGAAAATATCTTTAAATCTACTCGCTAATATCTAATCTATATGTATAATATTTGTATTAATATTGTTAAAAAAATATTCGGTTAAATACATTGCCGCATCAGGCAGCTGTTGTAAATTTAGTTACAAAATATAATGTTTTTTTTTGTTTATCATTGATTTTTGTAAATTACATAAAATCGGTGATTTATTCAAAATCTGAATCGTGATGTGGAAGCTGAATTCCTTAGAATCTACTCTCATAAATAGGGTGTAATTTCAAGAAAAAACGGAAAATAAATTAAAGATTTAAAAATCAAAAATTGTTCAATCGAAATTATGCCAAATTTTCCAAGCAAGTAACGTTCCACATAATTCAAATGTCGAATTTAAGTTAAATTTATTTTCTTAAAAAAAAAAACGTGTTATTGAGATAAAATGCATGACCCAGTCTAAAACACACTTAATAATGTAAAATTGTTATATGGAAAAAAATTCGAAACCACTTTAGAATTAAAATGAATCTACGAAATTCTACGAAAAACTCCATCAAAATCGTTTTGATCAAGCTAAAAATAAATTTAGAGTAAAAAATTTGGTTTTTAATTTAAAATTGAGAAAAATCGGAATTAAATTTTGAAAATGTTAAATCGAATGTGCTTCTTACTGATTTATATGCAAAGAACCTGTGATGTTTCTTGTCTGGTTAAACGCACAAAGTTTTAATTACACAAATGAAAATGTGGTATTCAATAACCATCACAAGTTCTTTAAAACTCTAAGTGAAATCTAATAAAATATCAAGCCAAAATCGGGCTGACTAAAAAAATGTCCCTTTGCTTTTAGTTCGTTTGAGAGAGATTCGAAAAAAAAAACTCAATTGTCTACGAAGCATGAATTATAATTAAATAAATTATTTTGTTGTTTTGATTAGTTGTTGGTGGATATCTTTTGCATTTGCTGAATAGAGAGTATATATTGTGTAACTGTCTTAAATTCGATGTGTAGATTGATGATTTTCGTACAGTGTTTGCGATTTCTTGTCATTTCAGTTCGTAATTAAACAAGACGAAAACGTTGAGTAGAACCCACAACCCATGAAGCGATGATAAATGACGAATATACAAAGAAATATAACGAAAAACATGGGGAAGGAAAAACGAGACTTTTCACTTGTTATGTATATACTATATATATATCGCCTCGAAATAGAGAGATAGAGAGAAAAAAACATGTATGGTGATGAAAACGTTGTTAATTGTGAATATTTAATTTGTGTTTGTGTGCGTTTTTTTTATCGATAGTTTTGTATAAAAAATATACATTAAATCGAATAACTGGGTTAGCCAGGCTATAAACGTAAGTAGATATAATATAATATCAGCGAATAAACGGAAAAAATATTAACCGAAATAAACGTTAACGTAAAATTATTTATTTATTCGGAGAGAGGGGGTGGGAGAATAACTAGTAGAGTAATTGGATCGGTTAGTCGATGCCGTTACGAAGTAAATACTTACTGAAACGTCTCATAAGATTTGCTGCGATTGAAATTGGTTCTTTTCTTGATTTAGTTCGTGGATTTTCGCTAATTGACCGATTATATTTGATATTTGGCACCGATAACAAGCGTTGGCTACGATTCGAATGGGCACGCGGCGGTGGAATTGGACGCCCGTTGTCATCAAACAGTGGTAAATCAGATGGTCGAGATTGACGTGCCCCTTCAAAATTGGCCGCCGATACTTTCATAATTATTTCATCGGATACATCGGAACGGCGCGTTTGTAAACATTGTGGCTGTGACATAATTCGTTTTTTCCATTCACCATCTGGATCGACAGATGATCGACGTTCCGTTACCGTGTCACTATCATCGTTATCGGAACGCTCTTCAGCATCCGAATTTGCATTCAATTCGGCCAAATTTTGAACAATTGACCGTTCAATATTGTCGAGTTCGCTCGAGCCACTGGTATTGGACAGTGCATAACCGGTCGCATATTCGACCGTGGTTGGTGATACTTCAATTGGTGACAATGGTGTTCCTTCGGTTGGTCCAAAACGAGACACATCCTCGCTAAATGCCATATTCACTTTGCTGATACGTTTCTTTATATTTAAAGCTTTTTTCCAAATCGATGATTTTCGGCGTGATTGTGCCATTTTTTTACTCTCCTCGTCGTCATCTTCGTTTGGGCTCAACGCTTCTTGTGCCTCTTCAACAGCCGGTGATGCTGAACGTGGCATTACGCCACCACTACCACAGACCACTGGCTCAACCGGCGACGGTGGTATTATTGATGGCATAAACTGTACGGTTTTTGTAGGACTGCTTGAAAAATCTGGCACACTCTAATAACACATACAAAGATGGGGTATGCCATTTAGAATTAATTTTTGTTTAACTTGACTCATCATTTCATGTTCAAAATGGTTGGTTGATGTGAATAGATACACCATTTCGAATTGAATTGAAATATAACAAACATTCCAATACATCAACTGAACAAATGCGCTTGGAAACATATGCCTAAAATATCTGTTCAGAATGTTAAATGTATGTATTTACAAGACATGTTTTCAATGACAAATCCATATGTCACATGTATTTTATGCCTATACTCTCTTGTCAGTTTGAGATGAAAATAGCTTAATTGAAACTTATACGTACGCCTAAGTACTTTGTACATATTTTTATATAGAGAACAGTATGTATCGATTTTCTTCATTTCTTTTTTGTTTCTTTAATGGTAATGGAGACAATGTGATTGGATTTTATTATTACTAACGAATAATATTATTTCTATAATCAATACCAATTTTTTCCATCGATTTTAACCTGAACTTGTATTTTAATTGGAATTTTTTGTGTGAAAAAAAATGTTGCTCGAAAGAGTATCGTTCAAAATTTGATGATGATACTGTCATGCCAGAAAATACACTCTCACTCATACTAATTAGCAATATTATTGCTAATGAACAAAGTTTTTCACTTTTGATATTTATTACATGCCAAAATTACATTTAACGCTAAAAAAACTGTGGAAAAAAGTAAATTTCCCAATTAATTATCGCGTTCAAATCGTTTCGGGGAAGTTCTATAAAATCATCATTTCAATTATCCAAAGTAGAATATTTCAATAAAATTTAACATGGCATTTGTGAGAATGTATACGCCATGGAATGGGACATCATTGATGAGTGTTAAATTGTTGAAAATCGAACAATAAGACAAACTCTGAAAAGCAGCGCACATTTTCTGAAAACTGACAACAAAAATAGAACTCCATTTACTTTTTTTTTTCTCTTGTCTGACCAAAATGATAGCATCATGAATAAAATATAGCGTCTTTGTGTGCAGTACCTGACGTGCCGTTCGGAAAACTATTACTGGACAAGAACTGGATAAAAACGAGAGAGAAAAAAAAAATTCGACAATCTTTTTGATATGATGAAAAATGAAATGCGGCAAAAACTTTGTTCGAATTCAAGAATAAGAGATAAAAGCCAGTCAAATCATTTATAACTTATAGATAATGATTTTTGTTTGAACAAGTCTTCCTCGAAGCATCTTTACCTAAGCACAGCACGAAAAAATTGAATGATGAGAAATGATTGGGGTTTTCAATGTGAGAGCAGCAATCGAACTTATTTTCTTTTTTCTTCTGTCATGATATTGGCCACAAAATGAGAGAAAAAAAGACGTATCTTAATTAAAACCGTTACCACGGCTACGCTCCCGTTAAATGGAAACGAACAAAAAAAAATGATTAGTTCATGTAAAGAGATGCGAAATACCGATTGGACAGTTCGGAAAGAGAAGGGAGAGAGATAGAGTCAAAAGTGCGCTCTTTGTAAACATTAGCAGCCAACGGGGATTTTGAAGAAAAAAAAAAGTTCGTCATGCAATGAACTGCTTTGTGCAAACCAAGTGCACGTTTGAAATATCAAACGCATAAATCCATAAGGAATTTATGTTTGAACAAGCTCGATATTCTCTAGCTGCTCCACGCCAATAGTTTCATTTTAGCCAGCATCTTATACAAAGAACAAAGCAAAAACGGACGAGAAATTTTTCCAAGGTATCCTTGCACTGGCATTTATTGTGATATGATGACGCGCGATGGAAGTTAATTAGCACGATACTGATAAAGTAGTCAGCGATGCAAACGTGTAAACTACCATGTGAATCGAGTTGCGCATAAACTTGTTGTGCACACGTACTGTGCAAATTGAAACATGCAATGGCGATACCAAAAGACAGATAGAAAAAGCGAAAGACGAATAGACAGCTACTGTTTTAAATGGATGAATGGTGCTGGTTGAAAATATCAATTGCGAATATTTCGATGCAGAATATTTAGTTTCCAATTTGGCATTGAGCATTTTACGTTTCTCGTTTTTATTCGCAGCAAGATATCCACTTCACGGGCAAAGTTGCGAATTTCAAATTGGGATATGTTTTATTCACCGTTGCGTTATATAATACGCTGAAAAAGTTTGGATGCGATTACATAAATGACGGTTAAAAAGATATAAAATGATAAACAAAAAACAAATGACGTGGATCAAATTCAACTTTGATTACAAATTATTGTCATAATTCTTTCTGGATGGAAAAGTAGCTGTCTCAGATTCTTCATAATTTGTATATCCACTTGGTATCTATTCGCTTTGCCGAAGAAGTAAATATTTGTTTGCTTCAATTCGTCCTGATAAATTGTGTACGGTATGAAAAAGAAATTGAAGGTAATTCGCATCATTAAAATGCGATATCAAAATAAAAAATGGCACAATCATGAACGTAGCGTAAGAATGCCACGTACTTGTTTAAGGTGAACCAGACGAGGAAATGGAATTGAAAGTTCGAATGAATATTATTTCAACTGCCCGAAAAAATTGGTGGAACGAAAAATGAAGCAAAAAAAGAGCAAGCAGACACGGACGCCATAATGTTTTCAACATTACTGTAATGAGATTCCATTGGAATTGTTTATGTGCGCACATTTGGTTGCTGCTTAGTTTCCACATTATATTCATTTCATATTTTGTGTGTGTGTGTATTTTGTTGGATTAAACGAGATGGAAGAATAAGAAAATTCCCTAAAACTGGTTGTGCTTAGTTGTGTAGATTTAAAATACCAACGCCACACAATGTACGAAGCTAATGTGCGCTAATTTGTTTTATGAAATGCATTGTTTCGCTAGTTCATTTCCGTTATTAATAATAAGTTATTACCCGCATCTTCAAGTTTATTTTTTTCCCTTTTCGCCTTGTCTTTTTATATTCCATTTAAAATATAAACTATTTTTCGCTGCGTAGCTTGCAGCAACAGCGCAATTCATTCGGAATAATAAATGAGTTTGTATTAATTGTGTGTGTCCGCTTAGTTTTCACATCATTTCTTGCATTTAAATGGTTATTTGCTGCATTCCTTCGACTGTGAGAAGGGAAGAGAGCGAGAGGGAGCGAGAAAAGAATAGAGATGGGGAATTATATATAGAAATTTAACCGCGATGCCACAAATAAGCGCACGACATCTTAACCGCTTGTCCACACTCAATGGCCAAAGTGAAACGCAATTTTTTTATGGCCATGTATACTTTGTGTTTTGCCAAAAAGTTTTATACGAGCCAAGCACAGTGTGATATCATATTCGATTTGAGAAGATTTGTTTTGCGAGACTCAATAAAATCGCGCTTTAAAACCATTTTATGCATAAGCGGTGTCTATTCGTGCATTTAAAATATGCATGAATTTCGCTAAGCTTTTTATTGGGATTATTTTTGTGTTTGTGTATGTGTTGGGCCAAACACAAGCACCGCCGTGCTTCGTTTAAAATTTTGTAACCCAGGCGGTATGCGGTTGCTCAAATGTTCAATCTAATTCAGACACACTCCAACTAAGTTCATCCCACTTGAATATTTTCATTTAGGCGCTGTACATAATTTTTTTTTTCTCGCGTACATTTGTTTGTGTGGCGTCGACTGTTTTCAATGCCCGTTCGCAATAAGTGGTTGGCCTCCAAAGTGTGCCAGCATATTCATTGTGTAATTTATTTATTTATTTTTTGTTCGTACAAATTCTGGTTATCGTTGTTGCTGTGGTTGTTATGTTATATATTCATTTCGGGTTTTCATGCAGTTAAGCTTTTTCGCTTTTCAACATTTTATTTGACGCTTTCACGGACGGTCACAGGCGCTGAACGACACTGGTTATGCACAATGCTAATAAAATTATAATGATGCTTTTATGTTTTCAAAACATTGAAGAAGTGTGACAAAATGGCATGATGCAAAACGAAAGAAGATAAGAATTAAACGGAATATAGAGAAAATTGTGAAGTAAATATGAGACTGCAAAAATGAAATACAATAGGATGCGTTCTTGCTTTCCATATAGTGCGCGCTATTGTTGTCAATGGCGAATTGAACGCATTAGATATTACACTTTTGCAAATCCTTGTGCTTGGTGATGGAAAAAAATGCCATTTTCTCTATATGCAATACAAAAACTGCTTTTGTATGTACACAATTACACCGCACTCTATCTGATTATATTCAATTATATTCTGTGCATCGTTCAATCTCGTTGAATTTCATCAAGTCAAACAATTTTCAATTCGATTTGTTATTATTTTCATTCAGTTGTTGTGCTTCTGCTTTTCGCATTCATTCTATTGTATGTTCGGTGTGTGTGTGAGTGCATTGTGTGTTCGCCTTTCATTTTTCATGCTCTTGCATTCAATCTGATCACAAAATGTGGTTTCATACACAATTCACATTTGTATTTGCTTATGTCTCAACACATTCAATGTGTACATAGAACATCTTAGTTTTGCAGCAAACGAACGTGTATAATTTCTCATTTTCATTACGATTGATGTTTGAGGAAAAACAAATGTCGCGCACATGGTAAAAACACGCACAAGGCACAACACATAACGTTTCACATTCAATTTCATTGAGTTGTCGCTGAGTGTTAAGGAAATGGAATGGGAGTAGATTGTGTAATGAATGATAAAAAAAACCGGAGAGAGACAGAGAGATTGAATCTGTATTTTGTTTGCCTTGTCTGATTCTTTCTGTCTCTCTTTTGGTGTGTGTGTGTGTGAGTGTTTTTATTTCTGGAATGTCGACCCTCTTTCGAGCTTGATTCATTTAATTTCAACATCATTTATCATTTTGTATTCTCTCTTACTTTACTTCAAACGTTTCAATTCACTCCAAATGCTGGGCGCTGTTTTTTGTTTGTGTTTGTTATTTTTATGTCTAATTACTTGTTCTAAAATAATTATCACATTATATTCTGGGTTATGCGCTCCGAATTTCAAATACAGAGAAAAACGAGCTGGTTTATATCATTTATTTACAATTTGTTGTCTCTTTTTGGTTGTTGTTGTTTTTAACTTTTCATGCGCGTGTTTTTTGGTGCGAAAATGTGGAAAGATACATGGCTTTAAGTTAAAATGTAAAATGAAATAACAAACATAAGAGAGAAAAAAAAATTGGAACAAAAACATAAAAATTCAATTTAGATTTAGCGAGCTAAAAGACAGAGCATGTGATAGCAATATTTTTTTTTTCTTCAAGTAATAATGAAAAACTTGTGTAGCGTTGTGTTCCATTTCACTTGTTTGTTATTGATTTTTGGCTTGCTTTGTTATTGCAGCCAAATGGCTGCTTTTTCGTGTGTTAAATTTTATGCTGCTCTGTAACTTTGACTTTTTTTCTCTTCATCTGTTTGTCTTTTCCTGCTGATATCCTTCGAAAGATGTATCTTTTCGATAATAGTGTATTAAAAATATTTTACGATTGCATAAAAGCTCAGCTCCTTCGTTTTTATGAGACCAAGTATTTATTAGCTTAATGATTCCCTGGTTGCATAGCAATCTCAATGAAATGCGCGAAATATGCAATCAATTCGTATCTCATTTCGTTTCTTTTTTCTTATTTTTAATATCTACAAACAAAGCTTTATCGCTTCTAAAAAAATCTAGTTAAAATGACGAGCTATTGACTCACCACACAAAAAAGAGATGATTGCCGCTAACAATCTAGTAGTTTGTGTATGATACAGTCCGAAAATGTTGCGTTTTCGGAAATGTTTATTTGTAAAAACTGAACAAAATCACAGATTAGTTTTTATCTAATCATATGGTCAATGTAATTGTTGATGTGCAAATGCTCCAAACAAATAGATTGAGGCGAATTAATGTCGATTTCCATCATCATTTCAATGGAAACACATTTTCATTTTTATCTCTACTGCGTGATAATTATGATTGCACTGTTTGCATAGGAGCACTTGAACATGACCTAAAACACTTTATGCAATTAACTGGTCGCCAATCTCAATTAAAGTGCACTATTAGAAGGAAAAGAGCTTTCAGAACATCTAACAAATAACTGAATTTGTTTTTAGGGGGGTTTCTAAAAGAAGATGGGTGTGGTGGAGGGGTGGCGCAACTGAAAGACTGAACTTAGTGGGAGGAAAAATAAAATCTATGCGAAATAAAATGTGAATTGTTCAAAGAGATTTTGTTTTCTACATAGATGGTTTATCATTATATTTATCAAATTTGGTTGTCGCATTTTTGGTCTAACTGCATGTTTTCAAATTGGTAACTTGTTTGGTTGGTTGTACGTAAGAAGCCAACATAAAAAAATAAGTGTAGAATAATCGAAAAATAAAAAAATATATATCATTTTGTTTTTGAAATTGTTTCGTAAAAAATTGTGAAAAGAAACGGTTTGTTATAATATAAATATTTAAGGTGGAAATTAAACATAAAAGAGCTAAAATTCGGACGGAAAAATATAAAAAAAAAAACAAATAAGATATTCAACTAAGCACATTTTGAAGGGTTGTTCATATAACTATGTCTGCTTAGCCTATGACTTTTGAACAGTCAAAATCGCTTTCATTTCTCATGGTTTTTTTTTCATTTCTTTTTTTTTTATATATATTTTTAAAAAAATTCAAATTATTGTTGTTGCTAAATAAAATTAAGTTTTAAAACAAATGAATGAAAATAGAACTTCAAACAATGTACAAACCTGATCTATGCTCGGCGAACGTGCTTGTTCGTCACGCGATGTTGCTGTGTCCGTGCGTTTTGGACTGCGCGGCGTACGTGCATATGGATCTTGAGCACCGTACAAATCTGGGCTTGCTATATTCAATAGACACGTTTTCTGCACAATATCAACGACAACTAATCCATATTCCGTTCCGTAGGCCATACTATTGGGCGGCAAAAAGCGAAGAAAAAAAAATGGGAAGAAAGATAAAACAATGTTTGAAGTGAAAATCATTGTTCGTTCATTTTTATGATATGCTACGAGAGAGGAGGGGGAAGGGGCTTGGTAGAGAAAGAGGTTGTCAATGAAATTTATAGAAACTTACAGTCCATAGTTTGAGTTAATGCACAGCGATGTAATTTGACCTGGATGCGTTCCATTAGTCCATGGTGTTAAGCATACAAGCTGAGCTTGAAAACCTGCCGGTTTTCGTTGCGGACCGGGCCGAACTTTCAACATACCGTCGTTCTGTGGAGCCAAAAAACAAATAACAAAAAAAATATAGACACACTCATACACTCGAGCCAGATAGAAACCAAGAGCCTAAGTACAAACAAACTTCAAATGGATTTGCACGGTTCAGAGGGAAATTTCGTTGTGAAAACAACGACGACAGCGTTGAGATAGAAACAGTATGTGGAAGAGAGGATCAGAGAGATATCAAACATTTGTGTAACATCGGCAATGGTAACCGCATGGTACATGTGTGCACGTTGCCAAGATAAATGGTTTTTCAAGAACAAAAATCAAAAGACAAACTCGAACTCCGGTGGTGAACCGTAAATATTTTCGAAATAAGCAGCTTATATATTTATAGCCATTATTTCCATATGCTTGGATAAAGAGATTGTATCCTCTGTATTCTGTTCGTCTCTCTTGAAATTAGTTTTGTTTCATGCTCGCTGAATCTGACATGTCGTTCAGTCGTTGTTTGTTTTGAATTCGGATCAAAAACGAATGTGAAAAATATGAAGTGAATTGTTTACATACATTTTTTTATTATTTTCAACTATTTTCTACTTACTTTCGTATCAACCGAGTCCGGTTGTTTTGGTAATGATCTTGGAATAAATTCACATTCTGGACTGCCTTCGGGGTCGTCGAAATTTTCATAGCTAATTGGAATCTCTAAAACCTACAGTGATTAAGAGAGAAAAACATGAAAAAAAGAGACAGAATAAACGTGTTCGGTTTTAGTTTCGGGCAAATGCAATCCATGTCGGTGTGAAAGGAAAGAGATTTTCTTTCGACAAGGGAAATAGTGAAACAAAAAAAAATACTTACTAAATACTCCGAAACGCTTTCGGCTTTACGAAACTTAAATAGTATCACATGACCGCTTGCACCAGCTACACACAACCTTCGCGATTCGGCACACAATGAAATCATCTGTATCGCTAATGGATCATCGTCCGAGCCATCCATCGAACGTGTTCGTGGGCGATCGAAAATTTTTGCCGTTTTCAATTTGTAAAGGATTTGCAACGTGCCTGCGCTGCTGTCCCAAAATTTAATTGAACCATCTTGATGGCCGGTGATAATGATTTCAAAGTAGCTACACGACGATGGTGACCATCCGCCGCCAGATATAGGCCATTGCCGATCCGATAGACCGGCCTTACGATTGTTTGGATTTAATCCAACCATATAGAAAGCTGGCACTAAGTCCGATGGACAATCAGCTAAATAAGTGCAACATGTAACCGGTGATTCATGAATATCCATGGGATAAGGCGACTCAAAGCATGGAAATCCAGGAGTCAGTAAATCGATTAAAACTAAATCATTTTGTAAAAGTACGGCTATTGCATAAGGTTCTTGCATATCTATATTGTCATCGGCGCAGATCAGCGCGCATCCGCATACACCAGCGAAACCATCGCATTTATTGCAAAATGCAAATTTGTGAATTGAGAAAGAGAAATAAAAGAGAGAGAGAGACAGCGAGAATTAGTGACGGGGACAAATTGTGTAATTGTAAAATGTAAACATCAAACATTTGCAATTCAAATTGATGCAGGTTTGTGTGGTTGTTCAACACCGCCAGGGACCTGGATGTGTTACTGATGAAATAAAATAAAAAAAAACAGTATTTACCACTTGACCAAGGGCTTTCGCATATTGTTATGAAATCGACTACCGGATGTTCCATTTCAAGAACAGTGGTTGATCTGCCTTGAAGCACAGTAATACACGGCGACTTTCCATCTCGTTCCACCGATAAACCGCCCGAAAATATTGTGAACGTTTCACTATTACGATAGAGATAGCAATTTCACAAAATTCAAATAAACAGCCATCAACCGCATCACACACACCAAATGGTAACGTAATCGTCAACACAGAAACCATAGCAACAGGCAAACAAATCCAAAACACACCACATTATTGACAATGGACGTAGATGATGGACGAATGAAGAGAAAAACGAGAATGAATGGGAGAAAGGAAGCAAACGAATTAGATTTCGAACGGAATGAATAAGAACAAAAACGGCAAAAAGAAAGAAGATTAAATAAAAATGAGACCGATGATTGAAAACATCAGTCTACCATTCAGCGAAATGTTGAAAACATAAATCACTTTTATTTCAAACCATGTTTTATGTGTACGGGCGCCTACAGATTGTGCGAAAAAAACAACGTGTGTATGGTTTTCAAGTAATTTTCCGTTCGTCATTTATGCCGTGACTAATGAATTTAATTCTTATAATCCAAATGCTTACCCCATTTTCGTCGTTCTAAGGTCTACTTTATGAATCGGCTTGCACGTCTCTAATTTTCCATCTTTGTTTGTTTTAGCTGAAATGGAAAGGCGAACAACAAAAGAAAATTAAAAAAAAACAGCAGCCAACAAATTCCCACTTATCGCTAACCATTTCCACAAGCTTTACAATACAATGGGTGTTAACGCTTTATCAAGAAATCGCTTCCATTCAAGGTTCTATTGACTTAACATTTTAACGCACAATGTGTGTGCGTGTATCTCATTTGTGGTAATGATGAACAAAAATGAATTTGCAAACAACATTGATGCAACAATAGATTCATCTTCAAGAATATTTCACCAACATACTTATGACGGAGCACTCGGATAAATGCCATTTATTGTCAGAGATTAAATACATATTTGTTGGTTGGGGGCGTTGAATAGAACAATTTGTGTGTTACTTACCGTGAGGATATGAATGAAATTGAGGTTTCGGTGTTGGTCGTAAAGGCCACGTACAAAGTGAACCGTCTGTATGGGATGTTACAAAATATTTGCCTTCATGATGCCAAGCAACTGATCGTAATGCTTCAGCCGATTGCCATCGTATTTCAGCGCATTTGCTCCGCAAATCCCACAGTACTATTGTGCCCGACTCATAACCAATCAACAGCTAAAATACGAATATTTTTGTTTAAATTTACATATTTATTCCATTTGAAATTGGGTGTTTACTGGAGGGAAAATTCACTCACTTTATTCGTGTCTGTTGGATTATCAGCCAAAGAAACTACGGCACCTGGTCGATCTTTTCGTAAGCTGTGTGCACAAGAGAAAGTAAAAGAAGAATATTAAGGGTGAGAAAGTGGGTGTAAATCAATCAATAATTTAGTTTTGAATTCATGAGGCGGTTGGCCACACAAAATGAATGTGTTGTTAAATGTTTTGAGGCAGCCAAATGCGTTGCTTTCGTGGCCATTGGATAAATCGGTGTTTGTTTCAAATATCCATTTAGTAGATAGTTGTGATATGAACTTTATCCATTAGGTCAGCAGTGTCTACAATTTCCATTTAAATATTCACAAATAATGAAGATCCCATGAAATGAATGCGGTATGTTTCGATTTAATCTTCTCGTTGCGGCAACCGTAAAAGGTTACAACCAAAAATCTTACTTGCCTAAGTTTATCATTATTATTTGTTGGATGAGCACTTTTCGAGTTGAACATTTTCAACATCGTTTAATGTGCAAATAACTGAATTAATAGCATCTGATGCTACTTTTAATATTGCGGAATTTGATTTCATCCCTGCCACACTCATTTCAATGGTGCCAAATGATGTTCGCGTATTTCGGTTTTCTTCGTCAAATGAAGAGACATTTTTTGGGTACCGAAATTCGGTTCCGTAGCCGGATGGATTTTTTTTTGTTCGGAGTTATATAAAGTGTTCGGTTGGTGACAGACAACATTTTACTGCAAAATACTGAAAATCAACGATGCACACACCGTTTACCAACATTTTCAATGGTGAACGCCGTACAAGCCGTCGGCAACAAAAGAACAACGATAGTGACATTTTAATTAGTGTAGTTTTTTTCCTTTTGGCTTTTTTTTATTCGTCTATATGCCTCATTTAACGCATTCCGAAAGCGTTTGCTGAACACACAACCGAATCATTTATGTGGCAGTATAATTAAAAGTCCAACTTTCACCTCTGATCTGCGAAAATCTTCAAAGTGTGAAACAAAAACCGCACATAATTTCTTTCTCGAAGCTAAAACCGATACTCGAACCCAACGAAACAATACGAACGGAACAAAAAAATTGTTGAGCTTTTTTTTCACCTACAAAACCTTTTCTTTTAATAAATGGTACACTATTGGTTGAGGCTTTTGTTTCGATCATTTCAAGCATTCACATTTTGAGAGCTCTTTTACAGTCATCATTTTTCGTGTTGGGTTTCTCGAAAAAATGACAGAAAATACCATTCCTTTCGAATTACATAAATATAGATGAATACCATTTAGAATTACAAAGGGAGACGAGAGAGAGAGAGAGAGAAATGGCAAACAGCGTAGAAATTATTCTTCCGTTAATTTTGGTGGTGAGGTTAGTCTTTGTAGATGAAATGATGGTGACCATAGTCATTTCATATCAAGCCAAAAAAACTCAAGGCTGCCCGCCGACACAAAAAAATTTGTTAGAAAAAAAGTAATTACGAATGGTAAAGGACTCAGAAAAAATAAAACGCACTGGAAATGATTTCAAATAAAAGGAGACACAAATGTACCCAACCCAGACGCATATTCAAATAAACGATGCGGGACAGATATTAAAAATCATAAAGTTAACAACAGGAACACGACAACAACACGAAAAGAATGAAGAATGAAACGAGAATAAAAAAATGGCTCCATGTCGGAACAATAAAACCGAGCGAAAAAATGGTCGACGAATAGACAAAAGAATATGTATTATTCATATTTTGTTTGAGATTCACTCGCAGAAATAAAAAAAAAACAAGTATCGTTCCCATTTCAATTTGCGCATCAGGAATGTATGTGTGTACTGCCGTGAGTACAATAGAATAAAAATGATACCTGAGCATGAAATTAAATTTTCGTTTGAATTAAGCGAAGAGAAAAAAACCGAACGACCGTACCGCAACATAAGTAAACCAATATGATAAAATTTTGAATTTGAAGACCCGGCAAAAAAGGAAACATGCCTCAGGCAAACCCTACGATTCTATTGACTTGGAAAATGCCTCAACTTACTTGTTTTACGAAACAATAAAAAAAAATAAGTATTTTGATGTCACACATATTATTAAAAGCGAAGCATCGTTGGAATACCTAATGTGAGTTGACCCATTATCAGAATGTTTTGCATAATTCAAAAAAACCAAAAAAGAACCAAAGAAAAAATATTGAAATTTCCTGATTCATTTTTCCACATGGGTCATTTTAAATTTCAGCATGGCAACATTATAAATCACTGGTTGAATGAGCCGTAAAATTAAATATTGATTTTTTTTCTGCACAGAGTGAAAAAAAGCAAATTTAGGTTAAACACTGTTCATGTAACAACTTCACCTTAATTTCATTCGCCACACGCCGGACCAAAAAGCGAGTGTCGATTATTAAAATAATGTCATGAGAATATCTGGCAATCAATATTATAAATCAATTTATGCTGACTTTGCAACTTCAAAAGCCACACAAAATGTCTTTGTTCTTGGGAAAAGTAGAAAGGAGTAGCAGAGAAAGAAAAAAAGTGGAGAAATTAATAATGCAATGAATTGAAATGTGTTTGCCATAGCCATGGAAAAGTTTCTTTTTAATTGTCAGTACTCTTTTCTTCCATTTTGCAAAAGTAACGACTCAGCGTGAAGTTTTTTACACCACGCACACACACCCAAAGTAAATCCATTTACCGTTTGGCATTTTTTTTATTCCCTAACACTTTAATGATGTTCACCAATATCAAGATCTTTTCCATCACAAAGGACCAGCAAAAGACTTACCATAAGCATTTTCCGCGTTGAAAATGTTTCCTTAATTATTTCATAAACTACAGAGCTCACACCAAACAATTCAAGTGGAGGGACGCAGAAAAAAAATGGGCATCCATTCAAATACACACAGATAAAGATGAATACAACAGCGTGGTTTCGTTTTTCATTCGGATATGAGTCATTTTAAAATTGTCTCTGAAATAGCAGATGAATATGCAAAGATTGAATGCAAATGGAAATGTTCGTACAACATTCGAAAACAAAAGCTTTCATTCACTAGACACATTTTCATTTGGATGGGCGCGCATACAGAGAGAGAGAGAGAAAATTGAAGGAAAATTGGGTCAAATGAAAGAGTGATATTTAAACAACCTCAGCCATTTTTCCATGGTAAAATCGAAATGAACATATTTAATAAGAATATAAACACAAACAATACCATGCCAAATGAACGACTTTCTTCTCGAAGCGAAAATGTGAACTGGCGCGGACAGAGTGAACGAGGGGGAGAGACGCGAAAGAATATGAGTGCTGTATGCATGGTGCAAGGACAAAAATCAAAACCAGAAAACGAGTGGAAACATTTCTCTTTTTTTTTCGGTTACATAATACACATGGTGAAAAATGAACTTTTGAAACAAAAGTAGTTAAGTGTTCTTAGTGCTAGGCTTCGTGTTTGGGGTGAGTTTTTAATATTCCATAATCGTTTCGTCACATCGACCAAAATTGTAAGCGGGTCGATGGAATGATGGTTAAAGTGACGATGAAACGAAGCGCAAATCAAGCACAGCCTTTTCGGTGAAGAGGCGACGATCGCTTTCAGCTTTAAACGATTTTGCCATTTTGCGATTTTCACACTTCGATGACGATAGGGCTATTATTTAAATAGCACACAGCCAAAGCGCATTTTCAAAATCATGCGACCGAATCGACGTTATACTGAAGCACACTTTCAGTATGCGAGTTCAACAAGTTTTACTCTCCCACATTCGGGGGTTCTTCTCTTCTTTTTCTCTCTCGCTCTTTCTCTCTTACTGTACAAAAATCAAAGCGAAGCAAAAATTGTCGATCTGCCTTAACCACAAACGAAAGTTATGCATAAACATAGATATTCATCTTAAATTACACCGCATACCACACATATGCAGAGAAATTGAGCGAATGCACCGGATAGTGCCTGATAACACTCTAATTAAAATTTAATGTCGATTTGGGCTATATGTGTATCGTTACATGTGGAATGCATAATAGTTGAGTCATTGTTTTCTAACAAAGCATGAAATGATAAAAACGCCTTTCAACCAACTGTCGTCACCAAATTCTTAGACGAAAAGAAATAGAACGGGCCGACACAGAGCAGTCGGGCGGTGCTGTATGTGAGAAAAAAGGGAAACACAACAAGTTTCGTATTGTTGATGTGCCAAAATTGTACACAAAGAGTGAGAGATTTACAACCGAATGAAAGTTTGTAATGGAATGTTGATATTTATTGGGGTTACGTGAAAATTGATGACGGTTTACGCTCATAAGTGTATATGTACTAATAGTTATTCCGTGGGAATGAGCACATAAGCATACACACTAAATTGCTCTCTAATTCACATACATCAGCTACTCCATATAAACAATAATTTATTTTATTTAAAAGTGGAACAAGTAGGTTTTTCAAAATAAATTCATTCAATTTCACCCGCCTGTCTGCACAATGTTTTGCATACAATTGAAGAAGAAGAAGTGAAAAAAAAAAACCGAAGAGAGAACGTGTTTTAAAGAAAACTATTTTCAACGTCCCTTAACTATAACTGTGTGTATCCCTTTAGTTGGAGCCCAAATCTAAAGCCAAAATCAGGCACACCGCAAAATAAGGCAACCAAACAGATGCATGTATTGAGCATATATTTTTCGTTGCAGCAGAATGATGTTTTATTTGATTCAGTCCCCTTTTTTATTTTATTTTCCAGTTTGGATATGGCATTAGTTTCAAGCATTCATATATATATAGAAAAAATTGTGTATAGAGAACTTAAAATGAGCGCGCGCGCTCGTTCTCGAGTGAGAGAAGAAGCACTTTATCGCAAAATGTTTAACAGCTTTACAAAACACAGCAGCTACAACACAAACGGCAGCAAAGAAAACGGGAAAAGTAAATTTGTTGTATGTACGTAAACATTAAACAATTGCAAGCTATCGCATGCCTACAAAATACCATAAATGCAGTATTGTGTGCGCAATGTTCACAACATCCATAACCGAACCAAATGCATTTCACTAAAAGCTCCTTCAGAAACCAATGAATGTAAGAGTGCACACTTGACAGAGCGCTTCTACAGTTCGCTTGATTGTTGCCACAGCGATATGAGTTTTCTTCTTTGTGAGTGTGTATGTGTGTGTATCTTCTTTCGCTTTTCTTCTCTTTTCATTTTTTTAATTCCTCTATTGATGTTTTTAAAGTAAGCGAGAGAATAGGTTTGTGTATTTTTCTATGAATGTCGTTGTAGCTTGACCTATGCTGAATCGACACGAGCCAAAAATGGCTTGAACGAGAGAGCGAGAGAGCAGGGCAGATTGTATATATATACACACACGAAGATCTTTTATGATAGTTGAACGCATGAAAGCGCATAATGTTCTCTAAATGAATATTGAACATATGTTTTTCATAAGCTTCAACCGAAGATGGATGAGTGTTTTGTGTAATTTCCGCTTTCCATTGTACGCCTGTGTTTCATCGGTTCGATGCACACACACACACACCGTTGAATCATCCGGATATTGTTTACAATTTAAATATAAATTATAATAGGACAATCTTTTGGACTCATTCGTGATTTTAAACAAAAATAAAGAGCCACTCGTACATTTCATGGGCAAAATAAATGGAGTACGAAGTGCCCGTATGGGCCGAAAATGTCAAAATGTCATGAAAATAAGCACCCAATCTATTTCTGTTTTACTTCCACCATTACCTCGGAGAAGCAATGTCAAGTTTTCCCGTAGAAATATTTTATCGCAGCATTATAATCTCCTACACTCGAAATGAAAGAGTTTTATATAGTTGTATGCTGCTTGGATTTCCAGTGAATAATTTATAATCTAATTTGCCATCACGTGAGTTGCATAAAATGAAATTTTATGCATATTCAAGCTTCTCTTCCATACACAATTCGATCTAGTTTCCATTACTCTCTTTCTCTCCCGCTCTCTGTGTCTGTCTGTGCGCTACTCACTCTCAACCGACAGTAGAAAATTTAAAGATTTTCATTTTGCGTTCATAACCAAAATTTGACTATGGAGTCATTTAATTTGTTGTTTACATGCCTGTCAGCTTATTACATCAGGCATTGTGTCCATTCTCAGTATTCGCTTTGCCACAAACAGCTTCTAGAAAATGTCTACGTAACTGTTGTTGGGTGTATACTAAGCGCATCCACTTAATCGCATTTCGAGAGAATTATTTTACATCCTTGAAATAATATTTGTAGTTCTCTATATTTCTTTGTTTTTGTAGTAATTTCTCATATCGATCGTTGTTGCAAGGGGCCAACAATTAATTACATTCCAACATTTTACTTTGCTGGAGGTTGGCAACTTTACTTAAGTTTAGTTTTGAACATCGCTTGAGGCTTTCTTACGTGCCATGCATTTCTAATAAACAAATTGCAAACGCTTCGTAATATTTGACCATGAATTATCCATTAACGTCAACGTTCATAATTATTTGAATCCATTGCTCAAGAAGCAGCAACATGGTGGCGGCGCTTTATCACGTTAAATACAAATGCTTTGGCTGCTTAAGATCCATGAATAGATAAGCAAATTAACAACGTACAACACATTCTCTATCTCTCTTTCATTCTCTCGTTCTCTGTCTGTCGCTTTCATTCTCTTCGCAAGCTTTCTTTTGACGAGTATCGCTTGAGAATTTTCCTCAACTCTACGTGAAATGACGAGTTTAGTTATTAAACAAGAGGTTACCAGTTGATGCGGTAAAAAGCACCGAAGCAAACACGTTGGTTCGCTTCAAACTTGGAGCCGGATTTAAATTCATCTTTGTCGTGTGCATTTCACAAATCCTTCATTTTAAATAAATCTAAATAATTGGTCGTATTTTAGATCGAACGCTTGGATGCGCGCGCGCTTTTCAAAATACTATACACCGTACCATGGTTTGTTTGCTAAGTATGAGTTTAGAGAACATCGGCAGACACTTCAACAAATAAAGTGTTGCAAACGATTTATGCTACCTTTTCAATTCAAAAATATGGCATCATGCAACTGTACAATGTCATATGTGTGTATGTGCTGTCGAGTGTTCTATCATATCAAGTACTTTTTGGAGCTTGAGATGACATTTAAAGGCTCCGGCACGATATGATACCGATGATACACTCAAGCCGATATGATGCCGATGATGTCTTTTAATTGTAACCCCACTCAAGCAATTAATAACATCCTAATTAACTACGATTTCTTCTTCAATTTTGTTTCTCTCTCTTTCTCTTTCTAGTGTTCTTCTATTTTCATGTTTAATTTTTGAGATATGCCCTCATAGCTTTTCATTTAGTTTCGAGATCTATTCATAAATATTGAATACGATCTATCTGGAATGTATCTTAATTCGATATATTCGTACTTGTGTAAGGCAAAATGTCGAGGCATATTGAAGAATCTTACATAAACGGCTTACATCGCTAAAAAAAATGCTAAAACACACGAGCGCACACAGTCACATTCATCGAAGCGAAACGAGTCATTAATTTTAATTTGAATCATAGCAATCTTAAGTTGGCAATTATGACAATGTCGTTGTCAAAGTGAAGTGGAAAATATCTTTTCGAAATGGCGTATTTGTTGTTTGGAATATAAAAATATGAAGTAATTTCATCAAAGTGATTCGTTCATGCTTTTCTGAAATATTCATAAACTCTGCTACAGCAAATTCAATTTTTCGCCATGTTTTTAGTGTCGTTTGCAATTCAATGCTGTTGAATAGTTTTTTTTTTCGAATGAATTTTAGGTTTCGTGTTGCATGTATCGTCAAATGAAAAATTAAAGTCACGTCGTCGAGTTTTCATAACTTGTGAATCAAAAACAACGAATCCAACTGACATTGACAGATAGAATAATATATATTCGAGGAAAAAAATGGTGAATGGAGGGAAAAAGTCATTTTCTATATTAAAAAAATAATAATAAAGAAATATATTTTGCAGTTAATTCATTTGAAGTCGGCTGCAAGCTGTGTTTTGATGTGAAAAAGATGCTTAATTCTTCGTTGCTTGCTTAATATTCGGATTATAACCTTCCATATATACGTTCTTTTTTTTCACATCATATAAAGGTTCTCAATTTTAGCTTCGCATATAAAATGTGTTCATGAAAGTTTATGGTTTGCGTTCATAAAGATAATCCGACAAAATGTACTATTGAAGTAACACGAAAAACGCTCCTGAAGACATATTGTAAACATATAAAAATGGAGATTCTCACACAACCACTCATAACTTCGACAAGCTCTCATTTATTGTATGTGGTATTTTTCACATTTTTTGTTGTTGTCGCCGTTGTTTATTGTTCATCAGGTTTTCCACCCCGCCCACTTTTATGCTTGCTGTCACTTTTTATTTTCCTTTCAAATGCATTGTTATCAATGCACTTTGTATTTCCAACAACAAAATTCATGTATTGAAAAGTGAGTTGTTGACGAATAGAGTTTACAATATTAAGTTCACAATATGAAAAGCTGACTAAAAAAGGCCATCTTTGGCTGAATCATGGTAAATTTAACAACGAATGATGGATATGAGAGGTACTTACACTTCAATCGCCTTATTCCAATTTATTATGTATCCACTTAATGCAAACGATTCAATATTAATTACATGGATGTTACCCTTATCTGTTCCAACGTAAAGCCATTTGCTAGCAACAGGCAGATAAAGGCATGTAATTCTGTAACAAAAAGTGAAAAAGAAGAGAAAAAAAACAGGAAAAAAATGAAAATATTAACAAACGGATAATACACCATAGACCATTTCCACGTGCATCACATTTCATTTTGTATTGATGAACAACGAAAGGAAAAGAGAAAAAAAACCGACGCTAATCACAAGATGTGAAATATTTGTGCGCTTTTCCGGAGTTTTGGATATTTTCCATATTTTTTTTCTGTATTATTTTGCATTGCTCAAATATGTAAAGCGGATTGGGTTTCATTTTCTCTCTTGCTTTCATTGTTCGCAGCTGTCAATCGTAATTTATTTGACATAAAATGACATTGATGATGATCAGCTTACCTTTCCCTTTGAAATTTTAAACTTTGTTGTAATTGTGGGCTTTTTTGACGAAAATTCCATAAATGCAGCGTATCGTCAGCGGTTACCGTTATCAGTGCACCTTCATTAACTAAAAACTCAATGTGGGTTACAGCGCACGCCGATTCACCTTCGTGTCTTAGATGACAATCAACACCCGGCTTTCCCAATCTATTTTATCAAACACAAAACGAAAAGTACGACCGACGAAGGGTGTTTGTTTGTGTTTTTTTATGCCGAAAATGCGCGAAAATGAGGAAGTTTAACGGCGGTAATTGTTTTCGTGTTCCGCATTTCAAAGTTGAGGCGAACAATTTAATGTAAAAGGATTAAGGAAAATTTTTCGTTTTTTATTGGTAGAAATTCGTTTTTGTTTTTCTTTTGAAGAATGTTTATTAATTATTTGTGACGGAGTAATACAAAATATGTATCTGTGTGTGTGTGTTTTGTTGGTGAAAAAGTTATTCGTGGTTTTTATTTTGTTTCGTTTATGTTTGTCAGTCATTGAGCGGGTATCGTCGTGTCGTCGTCATTGGCGTCACAAAAACAAAGTCATATTTTAAGTGCGCTTAGAGCTTGATGAAAGGGATGAGTTGAAATTGTGTCGACTCCATGGGTTAAATTACATATTTTTTTTGCTTCTTCTTCTTCTTTATTTATGAGAAAAACGAAGCATCGTTAGAAAGGCTTCTAGTCTGGATCTCATAAATTATGGATCAAATATAATTACTTCTTGTTGAAAAGTGTGTGAGTGTGTGTGCATTGACTACTCGTCAAGCGGAAAATCTCAACAAAATACTACTATACTAGTATAATGAACGAAATATTATTGATTTTATTCAGCGATGACATGTATTGTTGGGTGTTTCTCTGCCACTAGCATCGCTATGAAAATTGTTTATGTGTATTTCATGTGGATGCTGTCATCGTTCGAATACAACTATATACAATCATAACTCCACTCTAAACAACTTGGCTCATAGCTATGTTATGGCATCATCGACGGTTCAAATCAAATAGACGACCTTTTGTCGCTATTTATTCGACAAGATGTGCGTTGTTTAGATGGTAAAAAGTTACTGCTTTTATATCAACTTTATACTTGAGTTGTGCGCCAAAATCGCATTCTTTTTAGCTGCTGTAAATCAACAACAATTCGTCCAAACAACCAAGCACATCATATTTCTCGAGACTCGAGGTGTTTTCCTTCCAAAAAAGCAGGGTTTGTTCCTCTGAGGGGGAGGAACAGTGAGAAGGAAAATCGGGAAGTGGAAAGCGCTGAGGGGGGTCTTCTTCAAGTGAGGAGCACAAGCTATTTAACTATAAAAAGATATTTTTGTGATAAAAATAGCTTTTTGACCAAAAATCTTTCCCCCCCTCCCATTTGAGGAGGAATATCCTCCTCAGCACTCTCCTCCTTCTTCTCATTTGCCTCCTCACCGTTGCTCCTTCTCGGAGGAACAATCCCTGCAAAAAAGTGTTCATCATTTTCAGCAATTTCTAATAACAACACTACGGAACCAACAAAAAACTTGTTGGTATTTCATTTCATTCCCTTGGATCAACATCGAAAAGAAAAAAAGAATTGCTTATCGATTTTTTATTGTGATGAACATAAACTTATATGAAACAAAGGGATCATAATCGGAAATTCCCTTACACTTTCAACCCAAGCTCAAAACATACTTTCGAGCAGCGACCCTTCAATTTTTTTTCCTCTACCATTGCTCTCGCACACGAAAAGTAATCTTGGAAATCAATTGCTTTTCGGCGTTTTTTTCTATTTTATTTTTATCCAAACGCGATTCGAATAGGAAGTTGGTATTATATGTGTACATAGTATTGATGATGTATGTTCAATTGCCTTCTTCGTCCGTTCAAAACTTTATTTGGAAAGAATTCCATTGCGACGACTGATTGATTTGTTCCACCGTATTTTTCACTCCCTATCTTTCTTCATTATTATGCTATGCCGTGTCATTCTCTGCTGCAATTGATTCATCATCGGCCTATTTATAGTGGCAATAGGTCGTGGTTGACCTGTTGCCCCAACTGAATTCAATAGATAAATCATCATTGTCATTTCGACGTTCTACAAACGCTCAACGTCACAAAAATAAATTCAACGTCAGTTCTTGTTGACCTACGGATTTATTTTTTTTTTTATTTTTGCACTGAACACCGTGTTTATCTTGCGTGCCATTCGTTTTTTCCCTCATTTTCTGTGCAAAACGAAATTACTTTTCATCGTCTATCAGTGTGTATGTGTCTCTATCTGAACATAGGCAGTCTACATTAAGCGTCGTTTTGTAAGCAGCATTTCAATTTAATTTGACTCGTTTAATCTGTGATTTTTTCTTTCTCTCTCTCTCTCTCTCTCTCTCTCTCTCTCTCTCGTTTCAGCCGTTCATGTGAATGCAAAGTGAATATGCTGACTAATTGATTTATGTGAAGTGGCCTCATGGTCCGGTTGACCGACTCAGTTGAGAGCGCGGAATGGTAGAATGACGTCGTTGCTGTAACGATTGGTGAGAGCGATGCATTTCGACCATCAGTCATATTAGATTGTGCCATTTTAACTTGAATTGATATATTATTACTGTGAAATGGATAAATTTATTAATTTCGTCTAAGTAGGACATAATCACCCTTCGTTTCCAACGTTCGTGCATTTCGATTAAATTCATGTGCACAATTTGTTGTGTGTTGCGATTGAAATGAAATTTGTAGCCGATGTGCAGAATCAATTTTAGGTGGTGAATTATTGTCGTTGCGTGAGCGATTTTCCCAACACACGCACACACACAAACAAGATCGATTTCACTAGACGTCTACAGGCATGACAAGGAGTGGAAATGGCAACAGATAACTATATATCTTCATTGAATAATATAAATTATAGCCTGAAATGGCATAGCATAAAACTGCGTTCTTTCCCTCTTTTAGCCTATCGCAATCCACATATTTCCGTTGACGATAACAATAACATTGCCAACAAATAAAATAAACCATCTAGCCCCTCCTGCTGCAACCAAAAAAAATCATCGAATATTTTAAATAAATGTGGCGCGCACGCATTTTGTGTCGAATGAAAAAGAATGATGATGAATTGCTTGAAATATTTGGCGAATTGTAATAAACGGAATATATTTATGCGTCAAAAAATTGTCATGAACATAGAATGTCATAACTTTGGTAACGACAAACATATTTTCACCCTTAGCAAAACATGCAAAATAGACGAGGTTAGAATAATCCATGCGCTGTTGAAATGGTGAAACCTGTTTGGAATCAAGTGCCGCATATTTTTTTCTTCACCAAGAAAAAACGAATATTATAGATTGATAAATTTGGCAGTTTGTTTTCGACATTTTACTTTTTCGTGATGATGAAAGAAAAATACCCCGCTTATTTATTATTAGTATTTTTTTTGTTGGTTCGCTGTCACACTTATGTATATGTTGTTTGTAAATGTATTTCATCCTTTTCATGGTAGAAATCATTTGTTTGCATGCCAAAGCATTCGTTCATAACATATGGAATTATTTTCACGTTGATCGTGCTTTGGCTTGAATGAGCAAGCGATTTGATGTTGTTGTTGTTTTTGCCATACGAATTGCTAAATGGGCCGTATAAATGCGTACAACTCTTAAGTAACAAAGTGCGTATCAAAGTAACAAAAGACAGTGACAATCAAAAACGACACACTTTCGCATAGCGCGGCTAACGATGTGAACGAGTGAGATTGAAAATTAGAACAATGGCTTTGCTGAAACAAAATAAAAATAAAAAAAATGAAGAATATACATAAACGTGAAAAGGAAATCATGAGAGTTGTAATAAGGTAAGAGAAAAAGTTGAAAAGCATCGTTAACCGTTAGATGAGTTTTGGCATACACCAAAATTGCGAAAAAGTATGAGAATGTATTATTTAAAGCTGTCACTTCGTGTTCTTTTCGCATTTTATAGCCAACACAGACGCCCACATTGAATGCGCCCGAAGAGCACACAAAAAGGATTTGAACAAATGGATGGCATTAATTCAGGCGGGTAAAAACATCATCGACAATGAAACACACGCGGTATTCGTGTTTCGCCAACATTGCAACACATTTCGTTTCGCCAAATCGAAACGGTATTCTTTTTTTATACCAATGGTGATGGCAACACTGTTAACTCTGTAACGAACTAAGTACTGATAAAAGGTAAAAATTGTGTGCGCATCAACGAGTGCCGGGGACGAGCACACAAAAAGAAATGTATACTTTTAAAATGGCAGAGCGTAGAGCCAAAAGCACGTGGTGAAAGACAAATATCATGACAAACAAACTGAGCACGGCTTTCGTACATACAAAAAAACCGGAATACCAAAGATAGAATGCGGCAACCAATATGCATGCATGGTAACCAAAGAAAAATTGACGGTACTGTGATAAAAAGATGTTTCACAGCTTTTGTATGTCAAATAATGCTTTTTCATTTTCTCGTGCCGCGCGTTATATTTTTATGTGATATACAATGTATATATGCAATGCATAGAAACATACAATTGAATAACCGGTCTTATGGCTTAAACATTTGGATTTAATTTTTTTTTTCATCTGCACTTCTGTTCGGTTTCATGTTGTTTTCATTCAGTTCAAAAGCGATTCGATGAATGTGTACAAATGTTGAAATAGAGCATTTCGTACGAGTGAATACCCTAGAAATGTGCTACTTCTTTTTATTTCAATATATGTGATGCGAAAGTTATAAAAAGGTGAAATAAATCGAACAGACGGAATGATTTAAAGAACAGAACGAAAGAGAAAAAAGAAGATGTGATGAAAAAAGGTAAAATATTGTTTTCTTGCTTGCCGCAATTTCTCATTTCATATATTTTTGTATTATTCAGTTTTTTTCCGTTTCACTGTTTGAATTCGTCTGAATGTTTATTGATGCTCTACCGTATTTTTGTTGACAAGGGAACCATGGAAAGATTTTGACTACGTTTTTATTCGCAACCATATTCAGATCGAAAGGAGGGATGTATGTTTGTTTTGTTTGAACTTGTAACAAAAAAATGAGCCAAAATCTCTTCTCATCTGTCGGAACTAAGTTTTCATTTAAAAAAAATCAAACATGCTTTCATCAATAGAAATTGATGAGATTACTTTTTGATGAACGGTTCG